CTCCACAATAAGATCTCTAGTTTCAAGATGACGATTCTTGGGGCTGGGGAAACACCAATCGCCTATCTCCTAGTTTTTTTTGAAATGGAGGGGTCCCATATGGATTTTCACTCTGGAGCGGTTCTGGGGTGAAAATCCATCTGGGCGCTCCCGACATTCAGCTTGGGAACCCATCCGCGAGAAAATCTTCCAAATGAGACATTCCATTTGGAAAATGACAATTTCGGAGGCTGGGGTACCCCCCGCCCCCGCTTATCCCTGAGAGTCATTTTCTCGCGCTGGGGGGCCCCAGCTTTATTTTCACCCTGGAACGGTTCTGGTGTGAAAATCTATTTGGTCGCTCCCGACAGTCAGCTGCGGAGCCCAGCCGCGAGATAAGGCTCCCTAAGCAGAGATTCTATGTGATACATTGCGAGTTTGGGGCTGGGGTGCACCCCCCCTTGCAAATCTCAAATTGCACTATTTCCTCAGCCCTCCTTGGTTGGGTATTCGCTTTGAATAGAGCACTGTGGTCTCCACCTCCTCCTCCTCCTCCCGCCTCCCTCCTCCTGCCTCCTTCTGCCCTTGCCTCTCGATTTTTATGTCCAACCCTCCTTTGGTTGGGTGCTCGTTTTGAATGGAGCACTGCTCGCGCGTCCTTCCTCCTTCCCGCCTATCATTTGTTGTTGTTGTTGTTGTTGTTGTTGTTGTTTTCATCTCTCTCTCTCTCTTTTTCTGCTCTTGGCTTCTGTCGTACTTGCCTCCGACTTCGCCATCCCTGGGAATTGCGATCCCTGGAGGTTGCGATCTGCGGAACTGTCGCCACGTACGAGGGCTGCTGGGGGGGGCGCTTAGTGCGGTACTAAGCAGATCAGAGCGGGACCTCGCCATCCATGGGGGGGCTGCGATTTGCAAAGCCGTCGCCCTTTTCGAGGGCTGCTGGTGGGGACAGCCTAGTGCGGTGCTAAGCAGATCAGAGCGGGATCTGTCCATCTTTGGGGAGCCGCGATCCGCGAAACTATTGCCACTCTCGAGGGCTGCTGACGGGGCCAGCTGAGTGCTGTGCTAAGCATATCAGGGCGGGACCTCGTCATCCCTGGGGTGGGGCGCGATCAGCGAAATTGTGGCCACTTTCGAGAGCTGCTGGGTGTGGCCAGCTGAGTGCGGTGCTCAGCAGACTAGAGCGGGACCTCGCTATCCCTGGGGGGCCGCGTTTTGCGAAGCTGTCGCCTTTTTCGAGGGCTGCTGATGGGGGCCAGCTTATTGCGGTGCTAAACAGATCAGAGCGGGACCTCGCCATCCTTGGGGGGCTGCGATCTGCCAAGTTGTCGCCACTTGCCAGGGTTGTTGGGGCGGGAGCTTAGTGCGGTGCTACGCAGATCAGAGCGGCACCTCGCCATCCTTGGGGGGCTGCGACCTGCCACACTGTCGCCACTTACGAGGGCTGCCAATGCGGGCGAGCCTAGTGCGGTGCTCAGCAGATCAGATCGGGGCCTCGCCATCCTTGGGTGTTGCGATATGTGGAGATCCCCGAGAGCGTTTTTTCCCCAACCATCCTGTGGTGTTTGGTCTTGGTTTTGAAGAGACAGCGCCCAGCGTTCCTCTCCTCTCCTCCCCCTCGCCCTACTCCCCCCTCCCATCCGCCTCGTCACCTCCCTGCGTTTCACTCACTCAGTACAGCCTTTCGTGGCCCAAGAGAGAGCTCCACCGAAGGTTCCAGTGGCAAGGTCCGCATGCGACACCGCCACCCAGGACAGCGTTTGGTGGCCCCATGGTGAGCTCCACCGAAGGCTCTCCCCCCCACCCAGTACATCATTTCGTGGCCCCGTAGGGAGCTCCACGGAAGGCTCCAGTGGCAGGGCCCGCATGCGTCACCGCCACTCAGGACAGCGCTTCGTGGCCCCATAGCGAGCTCCACCGAAGGCTCCAGTGGCAGTGTCCGCATGCGTCACCGCCACCAAGGACAGAGTTTCGTGGCTCTATAGGTTCTCCACCGAAGGCTCCAGTGGCGATGTCCGCATGCGTCACCGCCACCCAGGACAGCGTTTCGTGGCCCCATAGGCACCTCCACCGATGGCTCCAGTGGCAGGGTCCGCATGCGTCACCGCCACCAGGACAGCGTTTCGTGGCCCTTTAGGGAGCTCCACCGAAGGCTCCAGTGGCAGGGTCCGCATGCGTCACCGCCACCCAGGATAGCGCTTCGTGGCCCCATAGGGAGCTCCACCGAAGGCTCCAGTGGCAGGGCCCGCATGCGTCACCGCCACCAAGGGCAGCGTTTCGTGGCCCCATAGGCAGCTCCACTGAAGGCTCCAGTGGCAGGGTCCGCATGCGTCACCGCCACCCAGGGCAGCGCTTAATGGCCCCTTAGGGAGCTCCACCGAAGGCTCCGGTGACAGGGTCCGCATGCGTCACCGCCACTCAGGACAGCGCTTAATGGCCCCATAGGGAGCTTCACAGAAGGCTCCAGTGGCAGGGTCCGTATGCGCCACCGCCACCCAGGACAACGTTTCGTGGCCCCATAGGGAGCTCCATGGAAGGCTCCAGTGGCAGTGCCGCGTGCGTCACTGCCACCCAGGACAGGGTTTCGTGGCCCCATAGGGAGCTCCACCGAAGGCTCCAGTGGCAGGGTCCGCATGCGTCACCGCCACCCAGGACAGGGTTTCGTGGCCCCATAGGGAGCTCCACCGAAGGCTCTGGTGGCAGTGTTCGCATGCGTCACCGCCACCCAGGACAGCGTTTCGCGGCCCTTTAGGGAGCTCCACGGAAGGCGCCAGTGGCAGTGTCCGCATGCGTCACCGCCACCCAGGACAGGGTTTCGTGGCCCTTTAGGGAGCTCCACCGATGGCTCCAGTGGCAGGGTCCGCATGCGTCACCGCCACCCAGGATAGCGTTTCGTGGCCCCATAGGGAGCTCCACCGAAGGCTCCAGTGGCAGGGCCCGCATGCGTCACCGCCACCCATGACACGGTTTCGTGGCCCCATAGGGAGCTCCACGGAAGGCTCCAGTGGCAGTGTCCGCATGCGTCACCGCCACCCAGGACAGCGTTTCGCGGCCCTTTAGGCAGCTCCACCGAAGGCTCCAGAGGCAGGGTCCGCATGCGTCGCCGCCACCCAGGACAGCGCTTAATGGCCCCTTAGGGAGCTCCACCGAAGGCTCCGGTGACAGGGTCCGCATGCGTCGCCGCCACTCAGGACAGCGCTTAATGGCCCCATAGGGAACTCCACAGAAGGCTCCAGTGGCAGGGTCCGCATGCGTCAGCGCCACCGATTTCGGCGCACCCCTCGCACGCTTCGGTTCCCCATAGGGAGCTCCACCGAAAGCGGTCCCCACAATGCGGCAATCGCAGCTACATATGGTTGGGTCCTTCGTCAGGCTAATTGTACTGGGGGTCCCAGATGGAGACTCAGGCTCGAACGGTTTCGGGGTGAGAATCTCTTTGGATGCTCCTCAAAGCAGCAGGCGCTTTCGAGGATCAGTGGGGAGGTGTACCTGAGCCACAAAATTGCTCATTTTCCAAATGGGATTTTCTGTTTTCCGGTTTGGCCTCACAGCTGGTCCCAAGAGAGGGGGGGGCAGATGAACATCACCTTGGAACGGCTGCCCACAAGGCTCCTGAGAGCGGCCCAGATGGCAAGTCACCCGTCTCAGGTGACAATTGCCACCCAGGAGCGGTCCCAGGGTGATTCTGGAACCTGAAGCGGGTAGGTGCCCAAGTCCTCCTCGGGGGCAACGTTCGGGGGGGGTTTGTCGGTCCGGGCGTTTTCGGACGTTTCCGTCGGTTCTCATCGGGTTTCCAGCCTGGGGATGTTTCAGCAGCTGCTCCTTTCCGAGGGCGTTCCGCGGGTGCCCAGCACGTGCACGTGCCGAACGGCCGCCAGAGAGCAGGTTACAACCTGAACACCCAGGGGCAACGTCACGGGGGGACGGGCACGGGGGGATGCATCGAGCCCCAACCGCCCATTTTTTTCGCCGATGTGTGTCTGATGCCCCCCCCCAGGAATGGGCGGTTTCGCTACGATCTACTGGCAATGTATCGCCGATTCCAGCTCGATGTTCCGCCCCCTTGGGCCCGTCCCCCCCTGTGGTAGGTTCGCGTCGTGTCGACCGGCGGCGACCCCGCCGCCAGTGTTCAACGTTGAACGCCTCTGGCGACCCAGAATCGGGCGATCCCCAGTGTGTTCGGCAAGCGACACGAACCTGCCGTAATGTTCCTCTTCATGTCCCCTCGCCATGACGCAATCGCGCGTCCTGAGGTTGTTCGCGCTTGTCGGGCTCTCGGTGGCTTCCAGCGGCCTGAGGACTGTCCACGAACGGTCTCAGGATTCAGAGCTGGTCCTGGGGGTTCAGGACCCGTGCTCTCGGGCCCCGCTTCGTTCATGGCAGTCCCCGTCTCTCCCATCCCTGTGCCTGCCTGCTCCTGCTGCTGCTCCCCGACTCGCGAGAGTCTCCCTTCTGAGCCTGGCATTTTTTTCCCTTAGAGGCCAGTTTTTGCCCCCTGCGCCCAGGCTCGCTGGTGGTCTCCGCCAGCTTGCCGAAGCCGCGTACATCCTGCTGCTCCTCCCCCTCTTCCTGCTCCCTCTGCGGGGCTCGTTTTCGAAGCAGCTCGCTCCTGGTGGACCTGGGCCCGTCTCGGTCTCGGTCGTCCCTGTTTCCCTCCCTCCTTGTTGCTGCTCTCGCCCTCGCCCGCTCCCGTCCTCCGCGGCCGCCCTGCGTCTCCTTTCCCTGCTTCTTGCAGTGCGCAAGCAATTCGCTGTCCAGTGCCCCTGGGCCGCTCGACCGACCCGTGCCCCGTATTGTATTCGCCCTGCGCCGATGTGCGCAGCAGCTGCCGTCGAGTGGTGGCAGGGTCGGTTAGTGTCTGGGAGGCGACAGAGCCAGATTTGTTTCACGGGCCAGGGGAGGGGGAACAGGGGGCAGAGGAGGAAGGATTAGGAGGAGGAGGAGGAGGAGGAGGAGGAGGAGGAGGAGGAGGAGGAGGAGGAGGAGGAGGAGGAGGAGGAAGGCCCGCTCTCGTAGCCCCTCGTCGGCCCAACAGCGGTGCTGAGGGCTCCCTCGGCGGCCGCGCCTGGGCAGCCCTCGATGCTCCGGTCGCTGCTCCTGCTGGGCCTCTTGGCGTGCGCGTGCTCCAGCGACAGCGCCCAGTGGAAGGACGGCGTCTGCGCGGGGGGGAGCACCATAATCGGCGGCGCGCACGGGGGGACGGTAGAGGGGGCTGGCCTCAGAAGGCGGCGGGGCTTCTCAGCAGCCTTCGCTGCTTTGAGAGGCCGTCTGTGGCCTCGGAGAAGGCTCAGAAGACTTCTTGGAAGGGTGGAGTGCTTCTGAGAAGCCCCTTTCTGCCTTCCCCCCGGGCGCGCCGTCGACAGAAAGCAGACGCAGTGCAATCCAGAGCAGTGCAAAGCAATGAGCTTCGAAGCAGTGTAGAGCAATGTGATTCCCCAGACTGGATTGTAACTTTTGTGGCCCACCAAGACGGCCGAACATGGCCCTAAGATGGCCCACGACGGCCCAAGAGGGCCCCAAGACGGGTTCCAAGAGGCCCCCAAGACGGCACAGGAGGCCTTTCAGACGCCCAAGATGGCCTCTAAGACGGCCCTGGAGCATTCCAAGAGGGCCCCAAATCGGCCCATAGAGGCTCCCCGAACGGCTTCCGACGGCGTCAGACGGACCAGGAGCCCACCAAGACGGCCGAACATGGCCCTAAGATGGCCCAAGACGGCCCAAGAGGCCTCCAAGAGGGCCTCCAGGAAGGCCCGAAAAGGCCAAATTCAGCAGCGCAGCGCAGCCCAACGCAAAGCAATACAGATGTCACTTAGTGTGCAGCTGTCGCCAATGTCGCGAGCTCCTAGGAGGGAGGTCCAGCGGAGCGACGTTTTCGGGCATCCAGACTAGGCCTCGCCTCTCTGAGGGCTGCCAGCTGCCCAACTGTCGCCATTTTCGTGAGCTCCTAGGGGGTTCAGCGGGTCGACGTCTTCGAGGGAGCCAAGCTACATAGACCTCGCCGCCCGGTGTGCTGCCGAATGCCCAATTGTCGCCACTTCTGCGAGCTCTGGGGAGGTTCAGCGAAGCGACGTCTTACGGGGGCCCAGGGTATCCCTGGGTGCTGCCGCCAACTGCGCGGCTGTCGCCACTTTGGTGAGGTCCTGGGAGGTCCAGCGGAGCAACGCCTTCTAGGGAGGCGAGCTAAACCTCGTCGCCCTGGAGGCTGCCAGTTGAACAACTTTCGCCTTTTTCATGAACTGAGAAGGTCCAGGCTGGTGCAGGTGAGCGACGTCTTACGGGATCCAATGTCGAGCTCGCCTCCTTGGGTGCTGCCAACTCCATTCTGCCGACCCCCATAGGAGAACCGACGGTCACGGGTGAGGCCTTCTGGGGCATCGTTTGGGCTTCTTGGGGGCCTCTTGAGGCCTCTTGGGGGTCTGTTGGGCGCCTGCTGGCGGTTTCGGGGCTCTTCTTGGGGCGGAGGGCTCGAAATTTAAGTTCGATGTGCCCTTCTTGTGCTTCTCTTGCGGCTCCTTTAGGGCCCTCTTGGGCTGTCTTGGGCGCCTCTGGGGCCGTTCTGGGGCTCTCTTGGGTTGTCTAGGGTCCCCCTGGGGGACTACTTGGGCCGTCCTGGAGCGGTCTTGGGGGCCTCTTGAGCTGCTTTGGACAGATGCTAAACATGTACGTGTTCCTTCGGACTCCACTTCGGACTTAGGGCGATTTTGGCCTCTTGGGGCCCTCTTGGGTTCATCTTGCAGCTCTCTGAGGGCGTCTTGGGGGCTTCTTGGGCCGTCTTGAGGTTATCTTGTTTGTTTCTGAGGCCTCCTTGACGTGTTGGAGCCCAGCTAAAGCAAGCTCAGAATGAGTTTCAAGCATTTCGAAGGCTATCCACTGAGTGTAGAAATGGAGTCTCTCAGGGCCCTAGGGGAGCGGTGGGGAGCCCAGAGACCCCCCCGGCCCCCCCCCACCCCATTCTCTTCGGATGTCATAATCCAGGGGAGGGCAATCATTCCACACGCCTTTGCACCCCTCGCAAGCGGAGGTTGGCGGATTCTCTCTCCCGTGCTAGCCTCCTTATTGATTTTGATGTTGGTCATGCTCTCTTGTCCCCATCCATGTCTAATCCTTCGCGTTTGCATCATATCGGGTTCATTGGGCGAGCGACTCGTAGGCCCCGTCTTGTAGCTTTTACATCTGATCGTGCTCCCTACCGCATCATCACCCGTGCAGGATCGACCTGTTCATTTTGCCACTTGTTTCGTATGGGTTGGGTGCGGCACTCCCCCATGAGGCTTTGCCTATGAGGTTTTTGTTTCTCTTGGAGAACCAGTGGGTGCGGGGCTCTTTGGGTTAGTTTCTTTGCAAGGGCCTTCCCAGGGTTTCTTGGCATTGTTTTCTTACAAGGCATTGCCAAGTCTTGTTGGTTGGGCTCTTTGGCTATTTGGTCTTGGTGTCGTGGTTCATTGGTCTTGGTTTCCCTGGCTCCTTGGTCTTGGTCTCTTGATTCCTTGGCTATGGTTATTTGGTTTCTTGTTAGTCTTGGTTTCTTGGCTCCCTGGTCTTGCTTCCTTGGTTGGTTTGCCTTGGTTTCTTGGTTCCTTGGTATTGGTTCCTTGCTGCCTCGCCACGCAATGGAAATCACCGCCAAGCAACGCCAAGCCATGCAAAACAAGGCCACGCAATGCCAAGCAATGCCAGGCAACGTCGCGCAATGGCAAACCACGCTAAACAATGCCAAGCAATTGAAAACAACGTCGCGCAATATGCCAAGCAATGCCGCCGCGCAATATGCCAAGCAATGCCAATCAATGCCATGCAATGCGCCCATGCAGCAGCAAACTTCCCCTACTTTGGGTTGGGGTGGGTGCAGTTTTCTGTGTTCGGCTTTTCGGCGGATGGTTCGCTGAAGTGTGCCGAGTGGTGCGAGTCTCTTCTTTCCCGACCTTCCTCTGCGACGGCACTGCTGGTGGTCGAAAGGACTCGTTTAACGGAGATTCAGCGAAAAGCATCTGGTGGTTCAGGCTACCCCGCCATCCCGAGCCTAGCCTTTCAGCGTCTGGCCTCTGGCCTTTCAACGGGCGGGGTTCGGGGCGGTGCGTGTGTGTGTGTGTGTGTGTGTGTGTGTGTTTGTGCGTGTGTTTTTCCTCAAACAGTTGCCTCTGTCCAGTCCACCCATCTGCTGCGCCAGGTGGAACTTCGCATAAACATGTCCCGGCTTAGCGCTTCGCGACGGTGCCACCTTCTCGCCGCTGGAGGGCGAAACGTGTGTGTGTGTGGTGGCATTCTAATATTTGCTTATTTCTTCTGCTTCCCGCTACCGTCGTTGGTCAGGTCTGAGTGCGGGCGCTTGTCCTTCTATACAGAGGGAAAGGGAGATCAACCACATCCTGCGAGTTATCGGCGTCGTTCAAATGCAAGGCGTTGCGCCAGAAAGCAAGGTCAGTGCAGTTCGGAGCAACCCAGAGCAACGCATCGCATTGCAACGCGTCAATGCAGTGCAACGCGAAGCACGCTGAAATAAAGCGAAGCAGAGCAACACCTTCAGGAGCTGGGGGGTTCCCGAGAAGCCAGGGGGGCTGATCCGCAGATCGCCTCGGGGGATCTGAGTGGGCCCCAGAACACCGCGTCCGCACTACAGCTACCGGGCCCTTCACACAAGACAAGTGCGTTTAGCATATCGGGGGGACTTTGAACGCGTTTGAAGCATACACTCTGGAGGCCGATCCTTTGGGTTTATTGTTTTGAAGCCCGCGGGTACGCGATGCTTGCAAGGACGAGGACTACGAGGACGACGGCCTCGAGGTCCAGCAACCCGCCATCGCTGGCAGTGCCAGGCCAGACAGGGGCCTTTTAGTCGGACTGGGGTAGCGCAGGGTGGTGGGATATAATAAATTCGTAGGACGAAAATGATTGGAACGACGAGGGGGAGGAGGAGGAGGTGGATGAAAAGGAGGAGGAGGAGGCGGCGGGCAAGATTGTGCACGATGCAAGCCGTCAGATTATGCGAGGAAGTATTCGCAGTCAAGTTTCTACCAGTATTTGCGTACAAATTTCGAGTGGTACTGGCTCCAGTTGGCACCGATTCGTTGGGCGTTGGCCCCCCAAAGCTTGAGAACGTTTTCGGCGACATCGTCGGTGGTTCCCTCACTCGTGTCTCATGTGGAACCCAGCCGAAGGCTTTGCGGCAGGATCCCGTGCATACGATTCAAGTCGTCGAGGATTTCAAGATTTGTTTTCTGGGGGGCCCTCTTCGAAACTGCCTGGTCATTATGTGAGCTTCGTGGCCCTTGGGGCCAGGACGGCCCAGCGCCTTGCGCATCTGCATTTTAAGGAGGGAGTTTCAAGGACATGGGCCGCACTCGGGAGGAGAGATTCAAGAACATGGGCCGCAATGGGGAGACCCCAGTGGGGAGACACCAAGGACATGGGTCGCAATGGTGAGGAGAGCGACACATTCAGGGATCGGCCTCGACTTCACTCCTGTGTGTCGCCTGATACCCTCCTGGGTGTGCGGCGGATAGCTTCACGTTGGAACCGGCGATTAGGCCGATTCGAATTTGCCCTCAGGAAACCATGTTTTGAGGAGCGTTCCGAAGGGGCGTGCCGGGAACGGATGACGGCGAAGACAACGCGTCTGTGTGACATTTTGAACGGGATGTTTAACCATGTAGGAAATCAATGCGGATGGACGAATATCTTTGCTCCTCTCTTCCCCTCCAGTAACTATTTCTGCTGACCTGGTGTGTCTTGTGAGATGGTGTGTCACTGAATCGGTTTTTGCGCGTCTTGCTCTGGTTGCTGTGCCTTGTTGGAGTTGGCGTGCCAGTGTCCCAACCAACTGGTGCTTCAGTTTTGCTTGGAACTCGGGGATGGCAACGAACTAATATGCGTTGGCGCTGCAGGTGGACGATAATTTCAGGGCGCTATGCACCGGGGAATGGGGAGAGGCAATAGGAGGAGGAGGAGGAGGCGGAGGAGGAGGAGGAGGAGGAAGAACAGGAAAAGGCGGATCAACTTCGACGGCATTGGTGTCGGGACGGCCATGAAATCGGGTATGTGCGCAAGTTACCCTGCACCACCACGCGCACGACAATGGGCATAATGCCAAACCAGCTCAGCTACAAGCGCCGCCTGGGACGCGACGGCGAGGCCACGCATCACTGCTACAGAGTACCCATGGAGGTTAACCCGCCATGGAGCTCACCCGAAAGTCGGCCCCAGCGAGCCTTCCTGGGCCGCCTCCCCACGCTTGCGTGGTCCTTCATGGGAGCCTCAGAGGGTCCCAAAATTCTTAGTTTGGATTTCGTCGGACTTGGTCGACATCTGGACAACATCTGGAAGAAATCTGGACGACATCTGGGCGTAATCTGGACGAAAGGATAGAAAGGGGTGGTCGAAATCTGGACGACATCCAGTGGAATCACGTTATTTATAGGGCCGCGAAGATCCACAGCGGCTCCCCGTGAAGGCCCACCCAACCGAGACCTGCCCAACCTCTGCCGACGGCGTCTTACCGCCTGCCAGCGCCAGAGCACCTTGTGGCGCGCAGGGGCGCCCGGCGTGCCTTGGGCAGGCAGGGGCAGAGTGCGCCGAGCAGAGCAGAGCTAGGAGGCCAGGCAAAGCCACGTGCCCTCCAGCCGAGCAAGCAGCAGAGAGAAGGCACGTTCTAGGCCATGAAGATGGGATCTGAGTCTGAGCAGATGGGGTCGGAGGTTCGCGCCGCATCGACGATGCATTGGCGATGCGGCTCGATGTGGAGCCAGGGTTTCTCCACGCCGATTACGCCGATGCATCGCCGACGTCGCCGATGCATCGCCGACGTCGCCGAAAAGAAGGGAGGAGGGACATCCTAGGCCAGGAAGGCCCACCCCAGCCAGGGCCCCCCGCGCAGACTCGGGGGCGGCGGCCGCCGTGCGAGAGCCGTGCAGACGCGCCGCTGGGGCCGCGGCATCAGCGGCCCACGGGGCGGCTGCTCCGCTGCCGCCGGCACGCGAGCAGCACCCGCAGGCTCGCTTTGGATCGACTAGACGTAAGAGTAACCCTTCGCCGGAGTGCCCTGTGGAGGGGGCCCAATGGGATCCCCCGATCGCTGAGCGCGAAGCGGTAGCAGCGGCTAGCGCGCCCAGGTTTGGCCACCCCGCGTCCCCCATGAAGCCGCGCACCAGGGGTCACCTTTGCCTAGTGTCACCCTTGCGTATAGCCGATTGGATCACCGAGTGCGTTCCTGTACACTGGCCGGTGCCTACTCGCAAACGTCCGAAGAACACATGTCCGTCCCGATGTAATGGGTCGTAGATCTCCCGCGGCGGATCCAGGCCATTTGAGAGTAGTTGCTTTGCGAACGGTGCAACGCGCTTGTCTGATGAAACGGCATGGATGAGATGGGTACGGAAGGACTGTGTACGGAGACCGACAGCAGTTCCTGTTCATTTTGAGCAGGACGCGCTGTCGGTGTCGCCGCGGACGTTGCCCATTTGAGACAGAAGGCCGCCTGCCCAACAACGGCCGCTGTCGGTTTTGGGAAACATTTTCTGTTGGGTATCGTAGTCATTTTTCCGTACCCACTTTGGGCTTGCCAAGTGAAGGTTGCGGGCGCCGTCCAGCGCGAGCCCCTCCTCCAGGATCGCCCGGCGTCGCAAGGGGAGAGGATCGCGCTGGCGTGGAGGTGCCACCTGAGGCGCGACCCCTGGTGCTTTGAGCCCTCGGTGCCACCGGCCCAGGCAGTCCTCCCGCTGAGGCTCCACATCCGGGCTCACGCGCGGCCGGCACGAGGCCCCCGCACCCGCATGCAGAACAGCCGTGGGTGGGGGGCCGCGCCTGGCACCTCGACGGCTTTGGCCGCGTCTGCCTTGCCGGCAGCCTGCCCGTGGGATTTCCAAGCGGGAGCCTCGGTCAGTCCGAGGACGTGAACCTCGGCAGGCTTAGCTGGGTTCCCATGGAGGTGTCCAGCTTCTCCGCCAGTGGCCAAACAGCCTGCAGTCCAGCTGAGCTCGGCAGCAGTGAGGCTTGGGGCCGGGTCTAACTCGGGCCAGACGTCACTCGTGCCTCCGTCGCCATCAGAGTCCTGAAGCCCGTAATTTCCGATCCACTGTTGAAGGCGCCCAAGCCACAGACCAATTCTCGCGGCACGGGCCTCACATGATTCAGGTCATAGAAGGATTCTTTTCTTGGTCCAGGCATCAGCGAGCTGGTTGCCTCCTGCACCAATCAGATCTCCATGAAGTTGCACGCCGGTGTCCTTTCTTGTGCTCTTTACTTCTGTCCCAACCATCCTATGTTGTTGGGTCCTCGTTTTGAAGACAGCGCCCTAGGTTCACTCCTCCCGCTGCCCTTCCCTCCTCCTCTCATCATCAGCATCATCATCATCATAATTATCGTACGTATCATAAGCATCACCATCATCATCACCATCATTAACACCATCAACAGCATCAGTATCAGCATCGTCGTCGTCACCATCATCAGCGTTGTCAGCATCAGCATCATCCTCATCATCATCGTCTTCATCACCATCATCTTCATCATCACCATCCTCATCATCCTCACCATCCTCATCTTCATCATCATCATCATCATAACCATCATCATTATCATTATCATCATCATTATCATCATCAGCATCATCATCATCACCACCATCATCATCACCATCGTCATCATCATCATCATCATCATCACCATCACCATCACCATCACCATCACCATCATCATCATCAACATCATCATCATCATCATCATCACCACCATCATCATCATCATCATCAGCAGCATCATCATCATCATCGTCATCACCCGTTTCAGCACGCCCCTCACACGTTTCGTGACCCCATAGGGAGCCCAACTGAAGGTCCCAGTGATACCGCCCGCATGCGTCCCCCCCACCCAGTACAGGCCCCATAAGGAGCTCGATCGAAGGTCCCAGTGATACCGCCCGCATGCGTCCCCCAAACCAAGTACAGCATGCCGTGGTCCCACAGGGAGCTCCACCGACGGCTCCAGTGCTACCGCCCGCATGCGAACCCCCGCCCAGTACACCGTTTCGTGGCTCCACAAAGGGCTCCACCGACGGCCACAGTGCTACCGCCCGCATGCGTCCCCCCCATCCAGTGCAGCGTTTCGTTGCCCCGTGAGGAGTTCCACCGACGGCCCCAGTGCTACCGCCCGCATGCGTTCCCCCACTCACTACAGCGTTTCGTGGCCCCATGGGGAGCTCCACCGAAGGCCCCAGCGCTACCGCCCGCTTGCATCCACCCCGCCCAGTACAGGGTTTCGTGGCCCCGTAGGGAGCTCCACCAAAGGTGCCAGCAAAACCTCCCGCATGCGTCCCTTCCACCCAGTACAGCGTTCCGTGGCCCTACAGGGAGCTCCACCGACGGCCCTAGTGCTACCACCCGCATGCGTCCCCTCCCACCCAGTACAGCGTTCCGTGGCCCCATAGGGAGCTCCACCGACGGCCCCAGTGCTACCGCCCTCATGCGTCCCCCCACCCAGTACAGCGTTTCGGGTCCTATAGGGGGCTCCACCGTGGTCTCCGGGGCGACCGCCATGGCTGCGGTCTCGGCACGTGCGGAGCGTGACTGTCGGACGCCGACCACGCACCGAGAAGCCACCGCCAGCCGCGGGGCCCCACGAGGGGCCGTCCTGGGTAATTACGGATGGGCTCGAGCCCACCGACGCCAAGGACCGTCCGAAAAACTCCCACCCGACCAGTCCCCAGACGCAGTAGCGAAGCCGTCGGCGTCTCGGGGAGGGGCCTCGCATTCACCGGACTCGAAACGGATCGGGGTTGCATTCTCGTCGAATTGTGGTGTGGTCTCCGAGATACTTGGGGCCA